TGATTTGCAGATGAATGCAGTTGCAGAAATCTGTCTAATTTGGGTTCACGTAGAACATAAGTTTGACGGAGACGCGGCAACTTTGGATTCATGATAAACTCCAAGTGGGGCACATTCGGGAATGAGTTGTGGTAGGGTTTTCAACAACCTTATGAGTAGTTTATTACGTTTGGCCAATGTATTGCTATATCTAGAGTATCGTACCAAATGAAACATGAGTTGGCCTGGTGCAACACATCCAGTGCAACACATGCCATCATTAAACAGGAGACTCGGCTGGATTCGGTTCAATCTCCTATTAAAACTACATTCATGTACAAATGAGAGTACTTGTGAAAATCCTTACTGCTTTTCAGCAGCCTTTCAGTGGTAAAAAGCAGCAAATTTAGGCAAAACCGGAACTTTAGGAGCTAAATCTGGACAAGAGTTCACGAGACACGGAACTTGTCCTTTAGGTTGTTGCATCAAACTGCATTCCTGTCGTATACGTATGTGTAGTTGAATTCTAAACGTTGCAATTACCGATTGGTTCACAGCACCTTACAAGGATTACCACAAATTTGACCGCTAATTCGGGATATTTAGGCCATGTGACGAAGCCTACTTCGCCAGGCTATACTATCGATTTCACGAAGATACTTCCGTAATGGTTATTCATCGCCTATGAACAGTTCAGACTGTACTGACGGAACATTACATGGTGGAATCTTTCGGACGCTCATGGTAGCCCGCTTTGGGAACTTTCAGGCTTGACCGAACCGTACTTTGTCATCAGTATGCCCTGCATGATGCCTACGACGGATCCTACGCTCTTGAGATAACTCGCTCCCAAAGTTGTGTGCTTTACACCTGGGATGCTTAACCCGTTTAACACCCTTTCTGTGCCTAGCTGCCACGCCACTCGGAGGAAACTTGAGGGCTGGCATACTGTCAGGTTGCCTAAGCCTAGACAGGTGAAGTTGAGAGGCAGAGGTCGGGTTCGAACCACGGACCCTCAGATAAATAAATTTCGCGCTCTACCACTGAGCCCCCTCGACCCGATACCTGAGATGATCAGGAACTCCTGCTGCACCGACCTGTCAGTTAGATGCATGAAGCGCAATGACAAGCTTTCAACTTTCATACACTGCCCTTATCATTTGCATTCAGTTTCGTTCTCTCACTGCCTCAGTGACACCTCTGTCCCTATAGCACTTAAACACAACTCCCTCTCCGGGTGTATCTCAGTAACGGTCTGTATCGTAGCCTGTGTCACAGCGCTAATCACAACCACCTGAGAAAAGAGGATTTAGGCAAAGTGTTGTCATTTACAGATGGTCGGGAACGGCGATACTGATTCTTTCCATGCCCCTAACAATTGTAGCATCTGGTCTTTCACGCGTGCTCCGCAATTCTGTCTTCATGATGGTAAGCTCCTTGGTAAGTAGGTCTAGTTTGGTCGGCAGGTGCTCCACAGGTGACTCTCCCGGCCTTTCTCCGGATTGTAGTGTGGCCAGTGGCGCTTTGACGATTTCCCATGCTACTGGGTTCACCAGATTCTACGCAATCGACTAGCCGGTGGCGCTCGCCAACCGCGTCTAAGCACCAAGCATCGGCTGCACACCTTCAGCGAACTGGCGGCCGACACTCCTTTCTAGCCACTAGTGCAGAATGGTGAAGAAATTGTCGGGTCACATCATGGTCTCATCCTGGTGGCCTTGAACCACCTCATATCCTTCCGGGGGGTGGGTCGGTGTATTGAATTCCACTGCAAGGGCTTGCTTAGTGGTGACCCAGTCTATCGTCCATGCGCCAACCTGAGAGGTATGAAGCCCAACCGGCTATCCGTAGACAAATCACTCTGGTAATTTGTTTTTCCAAGGGACCGTTGAATCGATTGACTTATCACCGCTGCATATTGTGGGATAATGACCTCCGTCAAAATCAGTATATGGTCATTCAACTTGACGAATGTCCCCTCACCCTACAACCTTATGTTCTACCTGAAACCAAACCGCACGAAGTTAGCGAAACACACTCATTTGCAAACTAATTTGGTTTTGCGAGAGACTCATCTGGAACCCAGCTGAATCTCTCACTTGTGATGTTTTCAGGCAACTGCCAGCTAGATTCCAGCTGAGTCCCTCGCAAAACCCGATTCGTTTGCAAATGAGCGTATTTCGCTAACTTCGTGCAATTCGGTTCCAAGTAGAACATAAGGTTGACGGAAACTCGGGAACTGCGCCTACCTGATGAGCCCGAACTGGAAGGGCGAAACCGGTTGTGGGCTGTCGACGGATTTTCAGCAATCTTATGAGTAGTGCATTACGAATATACATGTATCGCGATATTTCGAATATCGTAGCGACTGAAACATGAAGCAGTCTGGTGCAGCACATTCAGTGTCCTGGAAACACCAAAACCGAGAGGTTCAGCTGGGTTCCAGGTGCGTCTCTCGCAAAACCAAATTAGTTTGCAAATGAGTGTATGTGTCGCAGTCAGTCCAATTTGGGTTCAAGTAGATCATAAGGCTGACGGAAAGTCGGGAACTGAGCCTACATGATGAGCCAAGAAGAGCGAAACCGGTCGTTGGCTGTCGAAGAGTTTTAGCAACCTTATGAGTAGTGCATTACGAAAATATATATGTATTGTGGTATATTGAATATCGCAGCGACTGAAACATGAGACGGCCTGGTGCACCAGAGTTGCCTGGAAAGGTCGGATTCAAAAACGGCCATCCGGTCAGTAAATTTGCGTTCTAACCACTGAGCGATCTCGCCCCAAACTGTTCAGTTGTGATACCGTTTCGGTGTCTACCTCCCATGCCACCCGAAGGAAGCACGAGGACTGGGATACTGACAGGTTGCCCACGTCTAGTCAGGGGAAGTTGCGAGGCAGAGTTTGGGTTCGAACTATGGACCGTCCGGTCAGTAAATTCGCACTATAACCACTGAGTCATCTTGGTCCCCTTACTTGAACCAGGCTGTTCATATCTAGGGGTATCACACGAAACCTAACCTCACTGCTCCACTTCCCCTGAACTCCTTCGCCGAAAGAGCCGGTGTACTTTTCTTTTACCATCAATTTGTGATGCTGTTGATTGAGGAGAGACAGCAAAAGCCACCAGGTCAAAAAGTCTGTCCCATGTGTCCAACACATGCATTTTTGCTGTGTCTATCTCGTATGCTTTAATTTCCGTCCCCTCCTGCTTAGGAGCGCTTGGAGATGCAGGTACCTCAGAATGCTTGACATACGCCAGCACTAGGTACCCTCACCAACCCACCCAACGCACCCTCTTTTTCTCTTCTTTTCAATCTAGGGCTTTCAATATATATA